CAGGGGAAGGACAAAGAGGCCAGGAGCAGCAAAGGAGAAGCATGTCTTATTGTGCGCAACTAAAACAGTGAAGTCATGCTGGGAGATCACAGTCCTGACCCCTTAGCAAGGGATGTCTTTCCAAAATAAAAAAAAAAAAAAAAAAAAAAAAAAGGAGATCTTTACTTACTTTTTGTTGGAAATGAAGTCAAGTGCCTGATAGACCAGAGAATAGAGATATTCCACCTACAAAATAAGGCCAAGACTTTTGGAGAAAGAAAAAGTAGTTCCTAGAAAGACTACTGCAACTGAGGCCACGAGGAACCACAGCCCTCTTCTCTCCACCCCAGATAACTAAAGTTCAATTACTTGATAATCCCATTATTCTCATTATTATTCAAGCCACTTTGAGTCTAGGTTTGGGGAAGCAGTTCTTTTTGTTTTCCACTCTCCAGAAAAAAAAAAAAAGTGCTCAACAGCAAAATTCTTGTCTTTTCCCAGACTTTTGTGGGCTGCCATTCCCCACACATATAGAAGGGGTGAATTTGGAAATTACAGATTTATACCCTTTCAGATCGGCGAGTCATTTTTATGTTTAATTCTTTCAAAATCAAGGGAAACTTCCCTTGCGAACAAGCTTCAGTCTCAGAAACACCAGCTGAGGGATCACTGAGTGGACAAAGTGGCAGAACTAAGACCAGGACATGGCAGTTACTGCCCGTTTTCTCACCTTCTTACTGTAGATGCAGGCAGAGCCCTGGATTAACAGAGCTGCTTCTATGAAATTCATGGTGGTTTTGCCGCCGTCAAAGGAAATACAGATTTGGTCCAACTGCAAAACACACAAAAGAAGGAAAGCAAAACACTGATGTGCAGATTGGATTTGAGGACAGCACAGCAAGAGGAGAAAGTTAAGAGAGAAAAATCATAGCAAGATGCCTAACATAGTATTCGAGGGACTAGATGTAATAAGTAAACGCAGAGAGAGAGAATACGTTCTTCCGCTCCCAGTAGCCTGAGAAGAGCTTTTCTGTCAATAATCTCACTTCTCCAGCCAAGGCTGCGCTGTGGGGAGCATGGTCCCTAGTGCCACCACAAAAACAGGGGGAATTCAAAAGGGGTGGCTGCAAACGCTGTTAGATAACATCCTCGAACTTCAGCCCATCGCAAGCCTAGATCGGTGACAACACGGCTGCGCTGCCCTGCAGCCTGAGACGGGCGAGGGTTGCAGTGTCGGTGCCGCAGCCAAGGGACTGCCGGGACAGCGAAGGACGGAAACCCCAGCTGCGCAGGCCATGCTGAGGGGCATCTCTACACAAAGCTCTCCTCCCACCACAGCACTGTGGTGAACAGAGAGCCTCCCTTACCTCCTCCAGGTACTCCCCCAGCTGAGCAGCCACATCCACCTCCCAGTTCTTGGTGAGATCGCGAATGGGCTGCAGGAGGTGCAGGAAGCGCGACTCCACATCCTCCATGGCGACCGATCCCTGGAAAGGCAGAGGTTACAGCTCACTCGGCAGACGGGCAGACCCACAGGATCACTGAATAACCTGTTTCTTGACGAATGCTGTTTGTAATCCCAGAGTTGAAGTTTGATGCGTCACCATTCACTTAGAGCCAAGCGCAGCTTCAGTCTTAGGGTAGTTAGCTATTGTAAGAACCTGGAGTCAACTGATATCTTTCAATTTCAATAGAAATAAATGTTGTAACTAAATATACCCCACAAAAACCAGACTAAAACCAGACTAGCACGTAAGTTTCCCAAGTGGGAAACAAATGTCTTCTATTATCTCATCAAACACCTGTAGGTAAATGAGAGCACAACATCAGCTAGAAAGCCAAACATAACTTTCAAGCCATTCTCGGACAAACATCAACAGTAAACACTACCATCCATACAGTTTGTCCGGAGCAGGAACCAGGAGGCATTGACTGAACTTACAGACTCCTTACACAGAACTACAGGAGATCCCTGCCCAGCTGCTGCCTGCTCGGATGTCCAAGTGTAACTTCACATGCAGGAAGAGCTGCACCAAAGTCAACAAAGTATTCACGGGAGTAATGATTTGTGCGCTAACGAACCACCTCCTGCAAACATTTACAGCCCAAACCTAGTAACTTGGGCTTACAACCCAAATCTAGTAATCCGCAACTAAGGGCGGACTCCAGCATCTCTCTGGGCTCTCCAGCAGGTCTTGCGTGGGGTGGTGCAGGTGAATCCAGAACTGCAGACTCTACGGCTGGGATCATTAGGAAACGCATTCATTTCAGAGGAACATCCCAGACACTTACTCCTATTTCCACAACAGCAGACAGAAATTGCACTCCCCCCAGCAAGACTATCAGCACTATACGGATGAAATCCACAGCAGCATAGGGAACGGGACCAGTAAACGTTTCGTCTTCTGTCCTTTTAAATCGCAGTTAGGCCAAAGAAACATAGCTATAAATATGAAAATAAAAAGCTCACGACACAGGGACAGGGGAGACGGTCTCTCACTTCGCAGGAGGTCACTGGCTGCTCCCCGATACAGCATCAAAGCCTCCTAAAGAAACACGCGCGTGTCACCCCAAGCTAGTCGGCACAACGCTGTGCCACGCTTATCACGCTCCATCAAAACTGGCTGCAGAGATGAACGCTCAACCCCCTGCTCCCCTCCAAACACCCGCTGCGCCCCGCTCCTGGGAACGCAAACCTAACACGCGTGAGAGCAACGATCGCGGCAGCGGCACCGCACTAACACGGGGAGGGCTCTGCGCCGGCTGCCCCTCTGCGGACAACGTCCTGCTGCTCCAGGAACAGCCCGTACCGCCCCCCTCCTGCCAGGGGCCCAGGCCACCCTGGCGCTTCTGCCTGCGTTTTACGGGGGATAATCAGCTACGCGAAGTAGGAGGAAAGCACACGCTTTGCTCCATCGAGGAAGGATTGCTGAGGAACTGTGCGAGCGTGGGCTCTCTCTGAGGACAGGAGCCCCACAACAGGCAGGAGACAGACATCAAACGCGCTTCGCAGCGCAGAAGCGCGGCCCAAGGGAGCAGAGCCCAGATTCCCACCTCTCTGGTCCGAGTCCCTGATGCGGTGACGACACCTTTTATTAGATGAAGTGACAGAGGTGAGGGGCAAGGGAGAGCCGGGCTGCCGGAGGCGCAAAGAGAG